TGAATGGTTTTCGATTGATGCATAACAGCTTGATTGTGACTAGGACAACCTATGATGAGGACTAAGACGTGCAGTAGAATTGCGTAGGGGTTCAGTTCTTTCAACTGTTTGCTTACCAACTGTGACTTGGATTGATTACTTGTTCTTGACAGTCTCTTATGCATCTAGTTCAGGGTATCAGAATGTGAGATAGAGCATATAGGTAGCCATGTGAGATTTGAGCCTGCTCGTTTCTTTCTTGTGCGATAGATCCCTCTTCCATGATGTGTAGCATTCACGTTGTCACTAGCTAAGATGATGGGGGCATAGGATTAGCCCACGACCAAATTTGACTGTCCTGATATGTCATATCCCCTAGTCAGCCCTTTTGAGCCGTGTGTTATCCTTTCTTTTGGTCTGAAATGAAAAAATCACCCTTTTGCGTCTTTTAGAAGGTTCCACAGAGTGGTTTTTACATATTCTCTGCTGTTTCTGCTAAATTTGATGCGAGTGTTGGAGGTAGTGCTTAAAAGTTAAGCTGGGCATGTGTTTGAAATATGTGCAGAAGTGGTGGCTCTCTTAAGAAATGAAAAGAAAATGAAAGAAAAAACCAAAGAAAAAATTGAAAGCAAAGGGAGCCACTACCAAAAATCTGAATAATGCCCAGTAAGTAGTATTTCTTAGCAGTCTGGCTTGGAAATGCTGACATTTATACCTCCTTCGCTCTTGTGCTCTTGAGATATTGAGTAATGCAGAATAGCAGAAAGGAAATACCGGTTTGTTTGACTGTGATTGTTTGGGTTTGGCAATGTGGAACCTTGTGCTATGAATACTTCCACCACCTAAAAGGCCTTTTCCCCATGTCCAAGACCCTAGCCAGTCATTTGAACCTGTGTCTAAGACCTCCTGATTAGTTAGTGGTGACACCCCATATGTGAACTCTAGCATTTAGAGGCTGCCATCATGGTGAAGAGATGTTAGGGATTGAGAGAAATAGCATGCGCATTTTTCGCATCAAATTGTCCTGAACCCACTGGTCGAGAGTGAGTGATTAATTTTTCATATTCTATGTACTCTTGTACCCCGGTGAGGACCTAGATTGCTCGGTCTCTATTCTGATGTCTTGAGTTGGATGCATGAGTTGACTGTTTTGAGTAAGTGGTTGAGTCAAGTCTAGGTTGGTTGGTGAACAGAAGGGAGACTCTTCCTTTACTCGATTTTGCTGCACTCGAATGTCCTTTGTGGTGGTTGTCCAGGTTGCTATTGAAGTTGGTCAGGTATTGATGTTCAAAAACCAGTACGATTCACGTGTTCTGTGCCTTTATGACTTGTCCCCAATGTTGGTTGATTGAAATATGTAAGCTTACCTTGTGTCTGACTTGGTTTGCTTGGGGACAAGCAAACGGTTAAGTGTGGGGGAGTTTGATAGGCCGTTAATTACACATGTTTTTACCCCTGTTCTTACACCGTTTGAGATGTGATTTCTCGTGTTTTAGGCCGATTTCACGCTAGGTTGTGCTTGTTTGTGATATTTCAGGTCCTAGTACGTGAATGGAGGCTTGGGAGCGAGTTTGGGGTCGATTGGACGAAGATCGGGCGCGAGGCAAGTCAAAAAGGAGGCCACACAGGCACACCCATAACTCACACGGCCGTGCAACTCATATTTGTGGCCGTGTGAGATTGTGCGAGAGCAAACATGGCTTGCCCTGATATCCACACGGCCGTGTGAAGGAGTGGCCTGGCCGTGCGAGTTTCACCGAGAGCAAACACGGGCAGATGGAATTCCCACACGGCCGTGCGACCCTGGCCGTGTGAGAAGCCTGAAGATCGAACTAATTGGAACGCAACATTTTGACTCACACGGCAACTGGGTATGCCACACGGCCGTGTAGCCCTGCCCGTGTGAGTCGGGAATTCCTGGTTTTAACCCAATTTCGGGCTGCAAGAGAGAGAATCGGACTTTTTGAGCAAAAACAGAGCCCTAGAGAGAGAAAGGACGAAGAACACATCCTAGAAGCTATCTTGGAGCTGGGTTTCATCAAATCAAGCTTGGAGATCGTCATAGGAGTGGAAATCATCATCCCAGAGCAGATTCTTCCCATAGTTATGAGTATGACTGCTTTGTATCTTTTTTTCTTCTCTCTCTCTGTGGAGTAGAATCCCTCTCTCACTTGGGGATGAAGAACCCTAGTTCTATGTGTTAGGGATTGATTGTAATGACTTGGGATGATATTAATGTTTGGTTTTAATCGAATGATGCATGTTTATTGAGTCAATTGAAGTCTGATCAACTTTTCCTGATTCCTGCTGCAATCTGAGATAGATAGAACCTGATTAGGTTGCTAGAGTCTCATCATTCGATAGTAGGAGATTGGCTATACGAGAGTTAGCCAGTTTACTGCTTTGTACTGGAATCCAATTCCAGTAGTGGAGTTCTGTTCTTACTGCTTCAGCTTTCTATCCCGGTGAAGACTAGTCGTCTGCCGGGTAGTTAGACTGAGAGGGCTTGGTCAGCTTAAGAGATTCCAAGCTACTGTCGGATCTTCCGCAGTCTAATCAACAGTAAATCAACGCAGGGAAATACAATTGAAACCTAACTAAGGAGCTAGGGGGACTCATTCCCGAGTGACTCTTACCTGCTTGAGAAAACCGTATCAATTACTGCTTTCTTTCTGCTTTTGTTTTTAAACAACAATCACTTACTTTAGTTGGCTAGATAACAGAGAATCACGGAGTAAGCAGTAGATCTAGACCCCGGGTTGATAATATTACTTGTCACTTTACTGCATTCCCGGTCTGCCATTACACTTGGTCGCAGATTGGTGTTGTGTTTTGGCGTGTCAGGAGGGTAACACACCATTGACCAAGGGCCAATGTTCCATCAATTAGTTGACAACGGCGATCAAGCGTAAACACAACCCTAATGATGGAGACATTCCGCTCACGGCGGAAAGTTTGGACGAGGACAAGAAAATTTATGCCCGTGTCTACCTCATCGGCATGATCGGTGGAGTTTTCTTTCCCAAAAAATCCAACAACTTAATCAGCAATGGATGGTTGAAGATCCTCCTTAGAGATTGGGATGCTATGGGGAACCTGAGCTGGGCATCCGCTTGCCTAGCTAATATCTACCGCTCTCTCTGTAATGCAAGTGGGAAAGGGGTGAGGGATATTGATGGGGCGATGTTCATCGTCCAATTTTGCGCTTGGGAGCATCTGCCATGGATTGCGATGGTCAAAAAACCCGACATCTGCCAATGGATTGCGCTTGGGAGCATCGTCCAATTTTGCGCTTGGGAGCATCTGCCATGGATTGCGCTTGGGAGCATCGTCCAATTTTGCGCTTGGGAGCATTTTGCGCTCGAAGCTTATGGTTGTAGGTAAACTTCTCTGATCCCACTCATATCTCCACTCATTTTTTGCTACTTCATTATTATGTAGTTGAATTGTTACTATGCTTTAACATTGAATAATTTGATCCATGAATAAGTTGGCTTGGTCGAACAACATGCGACAACCTTTGCGAGCATAGGCTGGAATAATATCGTAGGAGGCTGGATCATCTATGGGAAGCAAAGGTAACAATCATACTACTTCTACTTCCTTTCATATTTTCAAAGTTGTTTGATATGTTCATTAATTTTTCATTAATTTGGTAGCCATCATTGTAGGTCATTTTTGACACGTATCCGAAGAATGTCGTTAACCATCACGTCCACAAATTCCTGTTGCATCCACATCAATGGTGCACACGAGTCCCACTCATCTGTCACCATATATTGAAGTGGCACTTGCTGGATCGATGCTTACAACAATTTGGACGTGAGCAGTGCATGCCCATTGAGGTCTCCGCTAGTCAAAGGGCTTACCATGGGAAAGATGGTGGCCAAGGAGCTACTAATTGGCCGCATGAGCTGAGGGACTACATCAAGATTTGGAATATTAGGCAAGATAAAGATATTGTCACTGCAACTATGGTGGGGCGGATGGGGTATCATGACCCATACCTGAAAACATACCAAAGACAATTTGTTCGTTACATGACGCCTGATGGTGCGACAGACGGTGCTTTGGTAAGTAATTTCGTTACATTAATTCATTTATTTAACTTTTGGCGTCAAGTTGGTAGGCTATATATCATTACTTAAAATGGCTAACTTTGTTAATTGTTGTTGTTTAGGTTGATGGGCTCGAGCGTATTCACAGTATAGCTCGTATTGTGAATGATTTGCCGAGGCGAGATGTGGGGATCATCCGTAAGATAACGAACAGTCTCCTAGGCTATTTTAGAGCACGTGGGACCCGTAGAAGTTGTACTCGGGTTGGTATTGGTAGTCTTCTTGTTGGTTGCCATGGTACCGTACTACCGTTGGGCTTCTTCTTCATATGATGGGAATGATTGATGATGACCTCCACCTCCATCATGATACTCCTAGTATGAATGAGGAGATTGGTACTCCTGGTAGGGATGATCTCCAGATGTTTGGCCATCTCTAGAATGACCTCCACCGGCATCGACCGCCTCGGTGTAAACGAACATCTCTGTCTGTTTAATGTTGTTGGTCATCAAATATTGGAGTATGGCATCAACGTCCGCCTGAGAGGTAATGAGAAATTCCTCATTCCACAATGACCCCCCATGTCTGTATGAATATCGATACACCATACGATCAACTCTTCTCGTGCCATCCATGCAGGTAACCTTAGTAAACATTTGATGGAGCTCTTCAAGCATCGGTCTCGTAGCGACCTTCATTTTATAAAAATTGTCACTGACGTAACGTACCCCCTTTCCGGTCTCTTCCGTGTAACCATTCCACCGTAACCCAAACATGAACTTTTGGAATGTCATCTGCAATAAAACCGTAATTAAGTTATTACCATAAAAATCACAAATCACAAATCCCAATAAAAAGTAATACAAAACAAACTTATGAATTAACGTTAATCTCAAAAACTCAAAAAATTAATGGTGCACAACTGAAATTTGAAGAAGAAGGAGAGGAGTGAAGATTTGAGTGTTCCGGGGTTGCCTTTTATAGGCAAATTTGACACTAAAACCGCAGGGGGAGCGGTTTTCAGGCTGCCATGCAGCCCCCACACCCCTGCCACCTCCTGCATGTCGACATGTCGGATGTTGGGTGAATGAGGACGAGGCATAAAACGCAGGGGGGTGCGGTTTATGTTGCCGACGAAAAACCGCACCCCAAGGACGCGGTTTGTGCTAGGGCAACCACATGAACCGCTCCTTCATATGGTGGTTTGCCCATATAAAGTAAACCGCCACTTCAGGATGCGGTTTATATGTGAACCGCTCCTGCCCCCGTGCGGTTTGAAAGAGAACCGCACCTTAAGGATGCGGTTTTTGATTAATGGTGGTATTTTTGTAAATGTTTTGGGTTGGGTGGTAATTTTGTAAGAAAAAAATAAACAATAGTACTTTTGGATTTTTTCCAAGAACGAGAGAGTTCAAGTTTTGTTCTTTCTGTGGCTCATCTCTGTGAAACGTTTCTCTTCTCTCCGCGGTGTAATAGTTGACAAAAATTTGCATAAACGTATCTCCTGTTATCGTGTATACGTTTCGATGCGTTTTCTCTGTCTTGGGGAGCTTTCAGTTGAGTTACTGATGAGTACATGGGATTCTAGTAAGATCAAAACGTAACCTTTGCATTTGTAAATCAATGTTAGTATATGATAAATACAACGAGATGTTCGTCTCCATCTCTTGCAGTACATTCACAAAGCCGCCCAGGGTGGTGGCGGCGACGATCCAGACCCCTCAAATCATAAAGTGGAACCGGACTGTACACAAAATCAGCCATCGTAGTGTTAGACGCTCAAATAACCCTGAAACAGTTGCGTTTCTGAAGGCTGGTTGATCCATTGTCTGCTGTCGCGATGAATTCCACAACTTCGGTCGAGCTTCTACAACTGTTCTTCAACACATCAAAAAATGAACGGCACTTTTGCACATGGGTTGTCATTTCCTGAACATTGCCGATCGCCATGAGAGTCAAGTTGGACGCGGGAATCAGCTCCAGATAGGGAAGCTAAGAATCCCACTATAGTAGAAACCATCTTTCCAGGGTTTTAGGAATCTTCTTTACGTTGATTGCTAAAGGGTAATTGTTTTTCACCTTGGTTGACCGCGTCTCTCCATAATCTATACCTTACTCCTAGCTTATCATACGATACCGGGAAATTCCAGACATCTGCGCCATTGTTCATTCGCTCCTGCTGCCCAAGTACCAGCCGTAAATCCTCATTCAGAACCTGCGCCCAATGATGTTCGAAAAAGTCTTAGAGATTGAGAGGAGCGCCATGTGCAAAATAGAAAGAAAAAGAAGCATCTTTTTTATTTGAACCTGCTCGGCAAAATGTCTCCATAGATGTTGCATGAACGGGACGTGCTTTAGCAGAGGAGCGAAGTCAAGGGACATTCTGTACAGCAGTCTCGTCTTTCCTCTAGTCGAAGGTAAGCAAACGTGGAGCTGGTGAAGATGAGTGGCACATTCCCTTGTACTTTGGCCCTCCAGTTTTCCGGGTTTGGAAATCCCGATGGTGGACAGCACCATGCAAGGTGGTCGAAATTCCATGTCGATAGGGTAAGGGTCCCAGTATCCTTGTAGGCCAGATGCTGGTGTCAGGAACTTCACCAAGCTGAAAATTTTGGACAACCACAAAAGAATAGAAAGGTGAGGTTGAAGCAAAATCCATTCCAGCGCAGCAGTCTTCATTTCAGATTTAAGCTAAAGTATGTTCAGTAATCACGCCAAAATTGACCAAATGACTAAATATGTTCAGTAATCATGTCATTGCAACTAACCTGGGAACACTCCAACCCTTGGCAAAAGTAGATGTGTGCGTAAAAGGTGCATGCGCAAGATCCAAAAGGTTGTCGAGAAGTAGCCCATGTTCCACTGGAAGTTCCATCACTATCTGTCACGAGGCAGGACATCATGAATGATGAAACTGAGAAGGCTTCTCTACAATGCAGGTCTACAACAAAATGAAAATAACAAATATAAGACATACCTCGGCATGAATTTGGAAACCCGGTGGAGGTTTTAAGGAAGGAAGGTTAGGGGCTGGGGGGTCAGTACCGGGCCAAACCCAGACCATGCCTTCTTGCTCAAAACATGGCAGTGACTTTAATTTCACATTCACTAGTCGAGTAGACGGCATCTTCTCACACGTCCCATCAGTTGAGTATTCCCATCCTGACAATGCATAATTATTTCATTTGTTAGTTGAAGTTGTAATTTAGATAACAACATGATCATTTTTCATGATTGTGAGTAACTCACCATGGTAAGGACACTGAATTCTTCCCTCCTTAACAGAACCTAGGTCAAGCGGACACGCTCGATGTGCACATGTGTTCTGAACACATCCTGGTTTTCCATCTTTCCCGCGGAAAACAACCCATGGTTGCTCAAAGCAATCAAATGGAATCTGAAAACAACATTTACATAAAAATGAGACACTGCTTAATGACGAATAAAATAACATTAAACTATTATGAAGAAAACTTGATTTACCATTGTGTCATCCTGCAAGTCGGTGGAGAAAGCAACTGGGTACCAAAAGTTCTTTAGATGAGGATGGTATGGCTGGACAGGACCTGAAACATTGAAACTTTTCCTGGGGGCTTTTCTTTTCACAATATTGGCAGGTGGAGTTGCAGTGGAAGTAGAAGGAGACGCTTGGTAAGTTTCTGCTGTGGTGCTTCTATCTTGTAACAGCTTGTCATTTACCAACTCTTCCATGTAGGCTAGTTTATCTAAAGCAGTAGATACCCTTGCTTCAGATATATGTACCTGGAGGATTAAACATGTCAGTCATCATAAAGCCATGGAAGGAAACATAGTCTCTTAACCAAACAGAAAATTTAAACCAACCTGTCTGTGAGCTTGGGTCAAGTCTTCTTGCAACTCAGCTAGTTCCTTCTTCATGGTGCCGATTGATTTATATTCGCGTGCTAAGGGATTCAAAACCTCCACAACCTGATCAAAAAAAGAAAGGTCCAGAATCAACATCTGTCTGCTCGAGTCAAGTCAAGAGAATCTACAGAAGGAAAGCAAATATAATGAAGAAAAGATGAAGCATCTGAAATGAAACCTTCTCATGAAGCAGCATGATTGTAAGCAGATCCTGGCGAGCTCGCCAATCACAATACTGAATGTCGTATCTAGCTACTTCAAGTGCTTGGTTGGCATCCAAGAACTTGCCTTTACATTGTGGCATCTTAGACCTGGGATCCTCCACTTCGAATAGCGCCCCCCATTGACTCTTCCTTTCCACCAACCCCCCACCTTCATCCCCAAACACTGCAAACACCCCAATCCTAGCTTTGCAGCTCTGAAAAAGATAATGGGCACTCATTACAAATTGGGCCAATAAAAATGTTGCTACTTCTTAAAGACTCTGTCAATAGCCCTAGCAAACTATTGCTGGAATCTGAATGTGAGTTTTCAGTACCTACATCTAGAAGACTAGAACACTCATTTCAATCCAGCTAGCCAAACCCAACATACAATACAAGTCCAACCATGCTTGCCCCAGCTTTCCCTTTTCTCTTTTTAAATGGTCGCATTCTCTGGTAAAAATTTCTACAACTCCTCCCACTACTTACAAAATAATCATTTTAAGTATCTCCATCCCACTAAAATTTTGAGTTCATTCTACTAACCTCTGGATTAAAAAACTATCTCATAACCCATATGGTCATTACAGCAGGAAAACTCTCCCAAGTCCCAAATAAGCTAGAAATTCAGACCCAACACACATAATTGAGTTCGTAGCACAAACCCACATAACTGAGTTCATAACAAACTTTGAAGTAGCATGATCGGAGCTCATCTCCTAAATCAACAAACCAAAAGCAGCGGAAACTTGCACCGGTCTAAACAAAGCTAGGCATACCAGGAAGAGCTAGCTAGCAGTGTTAGAAGTCGGTACCTTTCTGACGTGGAACTTTGACGATCTATACAAAGAAATGGGGACAGAGAGAGCTGCGAAAGTGGCGACAGCGGTCATGGCGTCCCGGGAGCCGTTAGAACAAAGAAAGCAGAAAGGGGGGAAAGAAGAAAACCCAGATGACCGCAGGAAAGAGAAAGGAAAAAAATTCCAGAAGAGAAAGGACTAAGGAGAAAACAATACAAAAATTATTTTTGGGAAGGTTATAAGATATGATAAGAGGTGTGTGTTTCCCGCGATCTGAGGTAGCCTGCCAGTGAATGCCACGTGGAAGGGCGTGGACTGGTCCGACAGCCGCGTGGCGGGGCGTTCCTCCACAAGCTGGGACGGCTGTGAGACGCGAGTATCTCAGAGGGGAGAGGGGTGTGGGGCCTTTTATATCTTGCCAGCTCAGACTCTCTAGATATCTCACTCTATCCCTTCCGCATTACATCGTTTGTCTTTTTTCTTCTCTCTTTTTTTAATGGCAAATACCAATATGCGGAATCAGAAAATGTAAGTGGTTGATAGTTTAATAATTAATTATTAAAAAAAGGTTGGTTAATTATTGATAAAATTGTTTATGCGACTATAACATAAAACTCATATATAATACACTAATTTATTAGTGAATTTATAACAATAATAATCAAATCCATTTTATCATACTTTTAGGCCAAGTATTAGTGAATTTATAAATACCCATCGATGGGTAACATTTATGGTAACTTCCAACCACTACTTTCTCTCTCTTATTTACAACTCTCTATTTTTCTCACCAACTTAAGCATCGGTGGAGGTCTCAGGATTCCCCTGAGGACCTTTCCTTGTAGTGTTCGGTGCAACCGCCCCCGATCAGAATCCGTGCGTGGCCTGGGAGCTTCACCAATAGCCTGGTACTAATCAGACTCAAACATTTTGGCGCCCACCATGGGGCCTGAAGACTTCGTTACACCAAAAATGGGGGGCGAGTTCGAAACCCCGCTCAAGGGAATGGTCGAGAACAACACTCTGAGGGATAATATCCCCAAGGATCATGGAGGAGGTTTTCAAAAGTCATGGAAAGTAGATCGCAAGCATGCAGAATAGCCTCGACTAAATACTCCACCTCTTGATGACAAAGGAAGATCCATCCGAAACCTCAAATAGAAGACCGCGGGAGGAGAAACAGAATGTTGTTCTCATCCCTGACAATGCTGCTCAGACAGAAGGCGGGGGAATGGAGGCGGAAGATGTGGACCTAAGTTTTCTTGAGAAACATTTAAGATCCACATACGGAAAAAAACACAAAGGGCCAAAAGTCCTGCAAAATCCATTGGCGAAAGAGTTATTCAAAACTCTGGTGCCCCCAAACTTATCATCCCCGAGACTACCCACCTACATCGGGACTTCAGATCCCACGAATCATCTGTGTGCGTTCATGCTAAAGATGCAACTTATAAACGCTTCCGATTCGGACCTATGATGTGCGTTCTCGATCACCTTTAGCGGTCAGTGTCGAACGTGGTACCCCTCCCTCTTTGAAGAGGTGAGAGAGAACTTTGAGCAGTTCACTATGATATTCGACGATGTTTGCATCCCAACAGAAGCGCAAACTCACAGTCTTAACTCTTATCAACTGTAGACAGAGGAAAGAGGAGCTGTTGACGGATTTGTACGACCGATGGAATGCAATTGTGTAAGAAATACAAGGAATCTCCTCGGTGGTGGCCGCAGGCAACCTCAGGACGTCGACAAATAGAATCGAGCTGAAGAGGGCAATAATTAAAAAGGAATTGACCATCTCACCATGGTCAAAGATGCACCAGTTGGTCCGGCGAGCTATATTACTTAAAGAAGTGCTAACCGTCGGTGTTCGAAATAGGCAGGTTCGCCCCCGGATCAACACCCACGACCGAGGAGACACTCAACAAGGTAGACTCTCCCTAGAGAAAAAAGCATATCCAAATCGGGACTACGAGTGTGATAATAGAAAGGAATTATACTCCACTGACCGGGAGCGAGGAAGAGAGAAAGGAAAGTGAGGGGAAAAAAACACGATGCGCCTCTTAGGCAAGAGCAACAAGAGAGAAAAAAGTGGTGCAAATGGAACCAGGCGGCCACTGATGACACCGCAGAGTATAGAGAATTTAGAGCCAGCCTCAAGTATCTCGCACCAGGAGACCATCGCATCCTCTTGAAAACCAGATGACCACACAGAGAACGCTCATAGAGGCAAACGAAGGGTCACGAAGCCTCGAGTCCGACAAGGTGAGGAGGACTAGTGATAACGATGTAATTGCACGTATTTGCGCCCCTAGTTCTTATCCGTTTGAGGGGCATAGTCGTGTGTTTTTGGCCTATTTTATGCCGGGTTGTGCTATTTTGTCATGTTTCAGGTCCCAGGTGTAAAAGGGAAGGCTAAGCACGAGTTTCGGGGCATTCGGAAGTCATTTCGGTGAAGCTGAGCCAAAACACGGGCACACCTAAACCAGAACACGGCCGTGTTCTGTGGCCGTGCTTTTACTGCCGAGAGCTAATTCGAGTTTGGCAAACATTGGCCAAAACACGGGCAGGGCTGAGATAGAACACGAGCGTGCTTCACCAAAGCACGGTCGTGTCCTCCCAAAAGCACGACCGTGTTTCTCCTAGTGTAATTAACACTAGCCAAAGCACGGGCGGGCTGAGGCATTACACGGCCGTGCCCTCGACCGTGCTTTGGCCACTGATGCCCTTTTAAGCAGATTTTCAGCCAAACAGAAGGGGATTCGAGTTTTAGAGAGACAGAGTGATTCCTAGAGAGAGAAAGCGACAAACAAGAGTCTCCAAGTGCCTTAGCTTGATCTTCATCACCATTGGAGGTCAGTTTGAGCTTGGAGAAGTGCCGATCAACGTCCAGGAGCAGGAATCCATCCTTCACAGTATGAATTCCGCGTCTGATTCCGCTTTTGCTTCTTTCTCCATGGAGTAGTTCTCCCATTCATCTGGGTATGGAGAACCCTAGATTTGTATGTTAGGCTTTGATTGTATGAACCCAAGTACTGATTCTATGATTTGATTATATTCGATTGAGGTTTGAATGATTGAATGACTTGAATCCTAATCAAATTCCTATTGTTTCTGCTTTAACCTAGAATGAGAATATCTGCCTAGGTTAATAGAGCATCCTTGATTAAAGGTAGGGAGTTGGTGACTTTAGTCGAGGAACCAACTCACTATTCTGTACCGGTTTTACTCCGGTAGTGGAGGTTTTGTTCTTAGGGCCTCAATCTGTTTACTCCGGTGGAGGTTAGTCACCCGCTAGAGACTCATATTGAGAGGGTCTGAAGACCTTTAGTCGAGACTTCAGGCTGTTTAAGAACCTTCCGCAGTATAACTATCATAGAAACTGAACTTGGTAATTATAATCCGGCTTAACTGCAGTCTAGGGGGAACCATATCTGGGTGACCTCTCTTAACCTGAATACAACAGTTTACTTGCTTTGTTAGTTTGTTAGTTTAGACTTGCATTAAAGTTTCATTGCTAGATAACAAGAATTCACTGAGTAGTCATCAAATCTAGGACCCGGGTTGATAATTAAGCCTAAACCCGCTATACTACGCTTTAGGAACTTGTTACACTTGCCCAATTCCTAGGGTGACAGTAGTGTTCACGCCGAGGCAGACATTCGCGGGACCGTGGTGTGCACGCCATGGAGACCAGATCCGGGCTTGAGCAGCAGGTAGCTGAGTTAGTGCAGACATTGAAGCAGCCCAACAGTCTGATTCCGGGCAGAGGTTTGGCTACACCTCCAGTAGCTCAATGTCAGTGGTGCGAGATCTCCAATCACCTAGTGGAGGACTGCCAGGCTATGAGGGAGTCTACCACTCCCCAAGAGCAGTTGGACTTCATCGCCAATGCTCGGTGCCTCAACCCGTACAGCAACACATATAATGAGGGGTGGCGTCAGCATCCCAACTTCGCCTGGAGCAGCAACAACACTAAACCACCTGGTTTCCCAGCACTAGCAGGTGGTTTTCAGCAGAGGCAGTCCTTCCAGGCTCGACAGGGGCCAGCCCCATAGCAGCAGCCCTACCAGCCTAGGCAGGGGCAACCATTCCAACAGCCCCAGCGTCAGTTTGTCGAGCCAGCAGCAGCCCCTGCCCCAGATGACCGGATGACAGAGCTGGAAAATATTCTAGCTTCATTCATGACTAGCACTCAAGCTGCTATCACGTCACTGGAGGCAGGTCAGCGGAACCAGGGTGCCATTTTGCAAGATCTGCAGCACCAGGTGGGCATCTTGGCCAGCCAAAACACTACCAAGGCACTGGGGACTCTACCTGCCACCACTGTTCCGAATCCTCGAGATCCTCACCAGCTGGATGCCATTTTTACCATGAGCGGTCAGACCATATCTGCTGATCCTGTCCCGGCCAGGCAGGAGGAACCACTATCTGCTTCAGCACTTCCAGCCGATGATGCAGCAGTGCGGGTGGAGAAGGAAGCCCCTGCTCCCAAGCCACAACCAGTGGTTAAGGAGCATGTACCCCAACTTCCGTTCCCCACTCGCCTACACAAAGACAAGTTGGAGACTGAGTTTGCCAATTTTATGGCAATGTTGAAGCAGCTCAACATTAGCATACCGTTTGTGGAGGCACTGTCGAAGATGCCCAAGTACGCGAAGTTCATGAAAGATCTCCTCACGAACAAGAAGAAACTTGGGGATCTCTCGACAGTGTTGCTGAGCGAGGAGTGTTCTGCTATCCTGCATAACAAGCTGCCCGAAAAGCGCAAGGATCCAGAGAGTTTTACTATCCCTCTTACTATTGGCATCATGCATGTAGGCAAGTCCTTGGCGGACCTAGGCGTTAGCATAAAAGTCATGCCATATAAGTTGTATAAAAGGCTAGACCTAGGTGAACTTAGCCCTACTAGGATGAGCATTCAGCTAGCTGATCGTTCCATTGTGCATCCTAGGGGAATCATAGAGGATCTGCTTGTTAGTGTCGGTGCATTCACATATCCTATTGATTTTGTTATTCTTGATATACATGAGGATGTGGATGTGCCTTTACTTCTGGGTAGACCATTTCTTGCCACCGCCAAGGCACTTATTGATGTGCATGATGGTAAACTGATTCTGCGTGCTGGGAATGAACAAGCTACTTTCTCTGTGACTGGATTTGATCATTGTGATATGATTGCTGTCACACCTGTGCATGCCATTTCTGACCAGGTACACGAGCCTGTCGTGTATCCTTCTGCACCTCTTATTTTTCAGGACCCTCCTCTCATTCCTTCGCCACCACTCCATCCAGCCTCGCCTCCGAACAAAAAGATCAAGGAGGAGTGGCGGCCGAAGCAGCAGGTTGCTAAGCCTGCACGGAAGAAAGGTGGAGACCACTATGAGCTGGTCCCACCTCCTGCACCACGACCACCCTGGCCGTCCGGGTACTCACTCGCCTGCATCTTGCCAGATGGCCAGGTCGAGCTGACCGATGATGGTGGACGCATCCGTCGGGTGCATGGCCACAACCTGAAGCTGTACCTCAAGAGCGACGTGGATCCGCTCTTGGAGGCACCTGTTCCTGCACCTCCCTGAGTATCCACCATGGGCGTCCAGCTAAAAGACGGTAAAGAAGCGCTTGTGGGGAGGCAACCCCACCACGGTTTGACTTTCTTTCTTGTGTTTTGAGTCGGCTTGTAAACCGGTTTGGTTTTGGTTTGTTTTCTTTTGTTTTGGATGATGTATTATTGGGCTGACCATTGGACCTAACTTATTGTGTTTGAGCTCTTTGGTTTCCTTTAGCTGTGCTTGGCTTGACTGGTCCGCTTCCAGTCCCCTGCAGTCCGTGCATACCAGTAACATCGTTCCCCTTTTCCTTCCCTCTTCTCCATTGAGGGCAATGTCGATCTTAAGTGTGGGGGGATGTTTATCTTTTGACTGCATTAGATCTGTTTGTGTGCTTGGAGCCTAGTCCACTGTCCAAATTTTTAAATTTGAGGGCTCCAAGTACGTGTTCCTGGCAATTGCCTGCTCAGTATGCTTTGAATTGACAGTCTTTATAGTAATATTCAACCTAGGGAGGTAGTGTAGCACTATGGAGGATGTTGATGCATTTAAGAAGTCTCATTTCTTCTTCATATTGTGTTGGTTGATTGAGTGAATTAGTGATCTTAGGACCCTTGAATTGTGTGGTGTTGTGGACTCTCTACCTGTCATGGACTCTTGTTTCTTGTTTTGAGTTTAACAGGTGCTCGAAAATGTGCTTCAAAATAACGTCTCCCGTGCGAATAGGGCGAAAGTGTGTAAGGGGAGACAGGAATTCGTTCCCAATTTCCACCTACTACCTCCAGCCCCCTTACATGTCTTTCCCCCGCACGAGGCTCGAGACATCCGCTCCTGGCATGGCCGGTAAGAGCAGGTTGGGACCCTTGAAAGAAAAAAAAGAAAAAAAAATAACAGAAAACAAGCAAAACAGAAAAAAGGGGTTCCAACCATCTTCAAGAAGAAAATAGAGCACTTTGAAAAATGTGAGTCCATGACCCTTTGTTTTTGAGAATCTCTTCCTCCACAATTCATTTGTCCTCTGTTCACTATTTGCCATGATGCCGACTCGATACTAGTGTTCTCGCCGAAGAAGCTATGAGATAACTTGTGCGTCGGTTGACCTCGTAAGTTGCTAAATGATCTAGGAAGTCCTCTACCTACGATCTGGGTAGTTTGTTGCTATAGAGGTCTAGAGAGTTGCATTGGTTTGAGTTAGGTTTGCTTGGGGACAAGCAAACGGTTAAGTGTGGGGGAATTTGATAACGATGTAATTGCACGTATTTGCGCCCCTAGTTCTTATGCGTTTAAGGGGCATAGTCGTGTGTTTTTGGCCTATTTTATGCCGGGTTGTGCCATTTTGTCATGTTTCAGGTCCCAGGTGTAAAAGGGAAGGCTAAGCACGAGTTTCGGGGCATTCGGAAGTCATTTCGGTGAAGCTGAGCCAAAACACGGGCACACCTAAACCAGAACACGGCCGTGTTCTATGGCCGTGCTTTTACTGCCGAGAGCTAATTCGAGTTTGGCAAACATTGGCCAAAACACGGGCAGGGCTGAGATAGAACACGGGCGTGCTTCACCAAATCACGGTCGTGTCCTCCCAAAAGCACGGCCGTGTTTCTCCTAGTGTAATTAACACTAGCCAAAGCACGGGCGGGCTGAGGCATTACACGGCCGTGCCCTCGACCGTGCTTTGGCCACTGATGCCCTTTTAAGCAGATTTTCAGCCAAACAGAAGGGGATTCGAGTTTTAGAGAGACAGAGCGATTCCTAGAGAGAGAAAGCGACGAACAAGAGTCTCCAAGTGCCCTAGCTTGATCTTCATCACCATTGGAGGTCAGTTTGAGCTTGGAGAAGTGCCGATCAACGTCCAGGAGCAGGAATCCATCCTTCACAGTATGAATTCCGCGTCTGATTCTGCTTTTGCTTCTTTCTCCATGGAGTAGTTCTCCCATTCATCTGGGTATGGAGAACCCTAGATTTGTATGTTAGGCTTTGATTGTATGAACCCAAGTACTGATTCTATGATTTGATTATATTCGATTGAGGTTTGAATGATTGAATGACTTGAATCCTGATCAAATTCCTGTTGTTTCTGCTTTAACCTAGAATGAGAATATCTGCCTAGGTTAATAGAGCATCCTTGATTGAAGGTAGGGAGTTGGTGACTTTAGTCGAGGAACCAACTCACTATTCTGTACCGGTTTTACTCCGGTAGTGGAGGTTTTGTTCTTAGGGCCTCAATCTGTTTACTCCGGTGGAGGTTAGTCGCCCGCTAGAGACTCAGATTGAGAGGGTCTGAAGACCTTTAGTCGAGACTTCAGGCTGTTTAAGAACCTTCCGCAGTATAACTATCATAGAAACTGAACTTGGTAATTACAATCCGGCTTAACTGCAGTCTAGGGGGAACCATATCCGGGTGACCTCTCTTAACCTGAATACAACAGTTTACTTGCTTTGTTAGTTTGTTAGTTTAGACTTGCATTAAAGTTTCATTGCTAGATAACAAGAATTCACTGAGTAGTCATCAAATCTAGGACCCGGGTTGATAATTAAACCTAAACCCGCTATACTACGCTTTAGGAACTGGTTACACTTGGCCAATTCCTAGGGTGACAGTAAAAGTGAGTCAACTAGAGCTGAATGATCAAGATCTCCTACACAGAACAAGGAACCCTCGCCTCCGCGACACCCTCCAACCTATAGGAAACCAGACAATTATGAAGACGTGATGGAAATTATAACAATTTTCGGGGGGCAAAAAGCGCACGAGGCCAGAGGGAGACGGCCTCGCACATTGCCTGAATGTCCAGCGAAAGGTGCTAACCGACCTCGCTTTCTTGGCGTCTGAGTTGGCCAAAGAGGAAAACGCGAAAGACCCCCTGGTCATTTCATTAGGAACCACAAAGTTTAAGGTCACCCGCGCTCTGGTAGATAAGGAAAATTCCATAGATGTGGAGTGTCTAGAAAGGACCGTGCGAATTTCAACCCATCTGGTTAAAAAGGAAGCTCAAAAGCTTCTCATGCTTCTCCCAGAATTCCAAGATATTTTCACGTGGGGCCAGAAGACATGTTGGGTGTCCCACGAAAGGTCTCCGAGCATCGATTATCCGTCCAACCCAAAGCAAGGCCAATACAACAGCGAAGGAGAAAACTATCGCTAGAGAAACAAATGGCCATAGAGGAAGAAGTTCGGGGTCTACTCAAGGAAGGCTTCATCAGAGAAGTGAGATACCCCACCTGTCTCTCAAACCCCATCTTCGTAAAGAAGGACGGAGGTGCTTGGAGAATGAGTAGCGACTTCACCAGTCTCAACGCAACATTCCCCAAGGATGCCTCTCCACTTTCCAGCATTGATCAACTCATTGACGGGACCGCGAATCACGAAGCACTCAGCTTCCTGGACATGTTCTCCGAATACCACCAAATCCGGATGGTGGAAAGTGATCAAGAGCTAACTGCATGCATGACCCCCATGGGAAACTTTTGCTATGTCGTCATGCCTTTTGGGCTGAAAAATGGCGGAACCACTTGTCAAAGGATAGTTGACACGGTCTTCAAAGATCAGATGGGAAGAAATGTGGAGGCATACGTGATGATGTTCTAGTCAAAAGTAAAACGTTCGAAAATTTACGGCGGCAGAACTTGCACCTGAATCCGTTCAAGTGCGTCTTTGGAGCGGATGCGGGTAAATTTTTGGGTTTCATGATCACCAAAAGGAAAATCAAGGCAAAACAGAAGCAAATCGAGGCTTTACTCAGCCTGAAGCCGAGGAGGTCGATAAAATAAATTCAAGCCTTCAACGGAAAAATGGCCGCACTCGGAAAATTCATTCCGCGGTCCGCCGACAAGTGCTCTTCTTTCTTCCAAATGCTCAAAAAATCAGCGTCAAGACTATAGTGGGTCCCCGAGTGTGACAAAGAATTCACCTTGTTAACACGCCAACTTAGTTCCCCACCAATTCGGAGCACCCCCTCCAAGGAAAGCGAGTCTATCTTTATTTGGCAGTTTCTAAGCCAGCTATAAGCTCTGTCATTGTGAGAAGAACAGAGGACGATTCAGATAAGCCGGTCTACTATGTGAGCAAAGCCCTACTCCCGAGAGAAACGAGGTACATGCCAGTAGAAAAGCGGTTATGGCCATAACATTGGCATCTAGGAAGTTGATTCTGTATTTCTAGGGGCATCCCATAACAGTGTTGTCTAATATTCCACTCAAAGGAATTCTGAAGAGCACGGATGCCTTAGAGAGGCTAACGAAGTGGGCTATCGAACTCAATGAGTATGACATCGAATACGCTCCCAAACCCACCATCAAAGGGTAGGTCCTCGCAGAATTTATTGCTGAAGGTTTCTCCCTGGAGGAAGCTCCCGCAGAAGGCAAGAACAAAATCTGATGCCTGTTCACGGTGCTGAAGGAAAAAACGTCACGGGCGCGGGCTTTGTGATTTAAATGCCAGAGGGCGTGGTCCATGAAATCTCACTTCGGTTCAGAGACATCAAGACCAACAATGTTGCCAAACACGAGGCTTTAATCAATGGACTTCAGATCCTCGCCAATCTGGGCGCAACTGATGTATACATCTTCTCAGACTCACTCCTGGTAGTGAAACCAGTACACAAAAAATTTTCAACAAGGATGAAATGCTCACCATGTTAGCCAACAGAGTTAGAAGTTCCTTGGCACAGCTAAACACCTAGACACTCGAGCATGTTCGAGTAGAAGACAACCAACATGCGGACGCGCTCTCGAAGTTGCTAACTGCCATGTCACCGTCACAAAGGAGGCCACCCTCAAGAAGAAATGATGGAAATTTATGAAACCGCAGACTGTCGTGTACCCTTTATCCAATGCTTGAACGGAACATCGCTCCCCATAACCCAAGAAGAAGAGCCGCTCGCTACACCATGGTGGGGAGACAGCTATGCAAAAGATCATTCTCAGGAGCTTACCTGAAGTGCATAGGGAAGAGGAATCACAATGGACGTTCAAAGAGATACACAAAGGAACATGTGAGACCCATGCGGGACCCAGATCCCGTGAGCGCACAATCCTCCTGCAGGGCTACTACTGGCCAACAATCAAGAAAGACACCTTCGAGGTTGTTCAGAAATGTCACACATTCCAAATCACGCCACAAAACATCACATATCCAAATCAGAGTTGCAAAGCATGGTAGGACCGTGGTCATTCGCTCGATGTGGGTTAGACCTTTTGGGACCATTTCCCACGGCTCCCATCGGGAAGAATTACTTAGTCGTGGTGGTCGACTAATTCACTAAATGAATCGAAGCAGAATCGTTGGACACAATCGCAAGCACCAGAGTCCAAAAGTTTGTGTTCGACAACATCATGATCCGGTTTGGCATCCCACACTCAATCATCACAGATCCTTAACCCAACAACTCGACTTCAAGCCCTCGAGGCCGACCTTCATGCTAGTCGTCCATCTGTCGGCTCACCTGTGACAGCATATGCCACACAACACGAAAGGGATTGTGGCCGATGTTGTAGCTACTCTGGTCGCGGTGGCGGTCGTGGTCGGACTCTCTCTTCTGGTCCCTCCTCCTACCCCACTCCGTCATCGAGTGCTGGATAATCATCGCCCTGAGACACCTGTTCTCGCCCCAATGATGACAACCCTCGTCGCCAACGTGTGTTCTGCCAGTTCTGCGAAAAGCCAGGCCATATCGCCAAGATGTGCTTTCAGCTCTTTCCACACTCTTACATATATATCATAAAGTTGTCATGCAATTAATTGTTTCTATTTGGTATTCTATCCATTATAATGGTCTAGTCATCGAGATGATGATGGGGTGTCTAGAAACGAAAAATTGCATGTATTAAAAAAAAGGAAGAAGAAGAAGTCCACAAGTCCAATTGAGAAGCAACGACATTTGGATGAAGCAATGGCAGTTGGGTCATGAAACATTATGTATTTTCATAATGCTCAATTCCGTGTAGACATAACTTCGTGTTTGGAATTGTTAATTTTCTCCCTTGGTTGGTTCCAAAGAGGAGAAGAGGAAAAGTGGCACTCGATCGAGTCTCGACAGCATTGTGAAAGGTAAAACTCTGCCCCTGTTTCTTTTGTTACCATTCGTAACTGGCCATTGTTTGAATTTGTAAATTTATACCACTGAAAAGTAATAAGACCATCGATTTAGAAAAATTCATATGAATTGCTTGTGGTATGTCAAGTTACCTTCAACCTTCATGAAATGTCATTGGTAAATAATTACATGGTATTTCAATAGAATATGGAAATGGAACTGAATTACTTGTGGAATCTCAAATTGCCTTGACCAATACCATTGATAAATAATATGATGATATTTCTAATAATATCTAAATTGTTTGTGGTATGCTAATCGAATTAGTACATATCATTTGTAAACAATTAGATCAATGTAGTGGTTGAAAGTTCAATAAGTAAAACCATGGAAAATAAAATGGAATTATTCAATGATAGTTTGGCAAGTGGTAGAATTGTGGGGGAGATGTTTCTCTTGATAGTTGAATAACAAGTGCTAGTGATAATAAATCTACAACGGGGAGTTTTTTATACTAGGTGGTGGAGCTGTTTCTTGATCTTAAAAAAAAACAAACATGTATCACACGCTCCAGTATGGAAGCTTAATTCCTAGCCCTTACACCGGTTGGAAAAGATACAGAATGGTTAAAAAACATGTTGTTAGATATAGAGTTACGGTCACAACCGTTGTCGGCTATTTCTGTCTTTTGTGATAGTGAAGCTACTTTGTCTAGAGCTTATAACAAACTTTACAATGGTAAGTGTAGACATATTAGCCTAAGACATTTTTAAATTAGAAATATATTACTAATGGAATCTTTTCTATTGTGTATGGAAGATCGATCATGCAATAATTTGGCAGATCCTCTTACCAAGGGATTGTCAAGAGGCATGATCTATGAAACATCCCAAGGGATGAGATTGCGACCTTTTGTATAGTTAGGATCATGCAATAATTTGTCAGATCCTCTTACCAAGGGATTGTCAAGAGGCATGATCTATGAAACATCCCAAGGGATGAGATTGCGACCTTTTGTATAGTTAGAAGTAATGGAAACTCAACCTTTTCTTTAGGTATTCACTAATTAAAAGCTGCATTGTGGTGATAAAAAGTTACTCAAAATGAGATACTAATTTATTGTACTAAGTAAATAATTAGTTGAAAGAAGGATGAGTTATAGAAATCTTGATATGAGTTGTAGAACTCTTAATGACGTTCATTTGGAATGTCACTTATGTGAGCATTAAGACTGGTGCCGCTCTAACAAAAGTAGATGTCAACTTTTGTGTGCGCTTATGAAACTGGATCAACACATGGCGATAATAGTGCTACCCTTGTTGGTGGTTGTGGTTTAGAGAGGAGACAAGTATGCGTGTGCAATCTGCAGTTCTAGATTTGGATAATGACTCCTAGGCATAAGCACATCACTGATTTGCTATGAACTTAGAGTTGCTTACACTAAGTATGCATTACTTGTTTGGAGCCGGTATTATCAAATTTTGTTGACTAAGTATGGGGATTGTTAGAGTTAGTCAATTAAGTTGCAATACCGCATTGATGGGAGAAGGAAATTATACGAATCGAGTCTTTTGGTAGTTTGAGTAATTAATTAAATTTTTTATTAATTAATTAATAGGTAAATACAGTATATTAGGCAGAACTATTAATGTGTGCAAAATAATAACCACAATTATTGAAATACAAATTATTAGTTATAACTATTGTAGCGGGTCAAAATATGGCTAACAGACCGTTCTCGTTTATAATTTTGTAACATAATCGGCCACGTCAGCATCATAGTTGGCGTCCACATCAGCATATCATCAAAATATATTATTTTCTATTATTAAACGATAAAAATAGAAAATAAACTAAACTCTACATCAAGCGTGAAGGAGTAAGAGGGAGGAGTGTGATCCGTTCCTTCTCAAATCATCATCACCACCAGTCAGCCACCACCATCTCTCCCAAATCCCCCAACCCTAAAGCAGATCTTCGCTATTTCTTTCCAGAGTTGTACTCCACCATGTAAATACGTAGAACTGCGGAAAGTAAATGGAGACGGTGATTTACGTGGTTTTCCCGAAGATCGGGACTAGTCCACGGAGAGCATAGCTCTCAGTATGGTTTCACTATCGACTTGCTGAATCAAATGAACAAGCCGCTCACTCTCTTAACTTAACCTAGTGAGTTCGGCCAAAGCAACTACTTATACCCTTCATCATGTATCACGGGTATAAGGGAAAATAAACACAAAACACCATAATGTTTGTAAACTGTACAAGTAGGTCAAATATTTCCGGTGACCACTGCATCACCACGACTCCAATCCCCTACCTCTCTTTTCGATTGAACCCAATTCCCCTTCCTACATGCAAACCGTATCGTAAGCCACACCGGCCTGGCCTCCATGTATGTCGCGAATAGAGGAGATCGAGGAACGAAGCTGAGATTTTGGTCGAAGCGACAGCAACGGCGGCAAACTCGGCTAGATCCACCACAGCTGCTCCGCCTTGATGCGAGAGCTAGTTGTCACTCTGGTGGAGGAGTGGCGATTCGAGTCGTGGTCGACTCTGCTCTCCGAATCTCGGTCGGATTGGAGGACGCGTAGCAGACCTTGGCGTCTATGGACACATCACCGATGGAGTTTACGGCTCCAACTCCCACTCTTTGTTGTCGATTTTCCCAACCGAGCATCTTCTCTTGGTTGCATCTTCTAGTTCATTTAGGGGTTTTGTCGATTTGAGATTTTACTAATGGATAATAGTCATTCTTCTCCTGTTATTTAGAAGTGATTTCTCAAGTAGCATAAGGATTAGGGTGGAAAGGAGGAAGAGACGGTATGGGAAAATGTGGTGGCGGCCATTTTGGCGATTGAGGGGGAAGAAGAAGATGAACAGTGTTTTCTTTTTATGATTTTCATTTTCAATGTTTATTTTAATTTAATGTTTATGTATCATCCATACATATACTTCAAGTAACAAAACATAAACTCTTCCGAACTTTTTACTTGGTTTTGAACTATATGACGTAATACTCATGCATGTTGATTTTTGCAAAAATTAATGATCGACATAAACATATTTAGAAAAACAATGAGAATATGTATATATTAACATAAAATTGATAATAAAAGTAAATTAAATTCCCTATTAATAGAATGAGGGAAAATGACACACATTAATTAAAACAATAATAAAGGAAGAATAAATTTTGAAATCAAAAGACTTCAATTATAACATTTATTTGGAATACTATGATCACCGACTAAGTGATTATATTATTTATCTTCAACATTGAGTACAAAATAGTAATATATAACATGAAACTAATTCATCCAGATGACAAATGGTGATCGGACCGTGAAATGTGGGTTGGTCCAGGTTATCCAACCATACACAAATTGTTGGTTCATAAGATAATCTTTCTTGGATAAAAACTTGATCTTGTACGAACACCTTTGTCCATTTTCAGTGAACATTAACTTTCTTGGGAATACCTTGACCCTCACGTACGACAGTACTCGAGCAGCTCCTCCAAATTCTACCACGGCCGTGTATGTCCAATTTCCATTACCCGCAACATTTTTCAAGACCCTCGGAAATGTCCTGGTTCGATTCGCCCCCGCAATCGGACCGAGATTGATGGGAAGTTGAGATTAGAGATGAGTTCCGATCGTGAGTGTTGAGGGCACTAAAAGTTTGAGGTCCGAGCAACTTTGGATATCCACCTTGTTGTGTTGGTGTCGTAGCCGTAATAACACAGGAACAACAAGTAGTGAGTGACGTCGGTCTCGTAGACGAGCCCCATTGGATGCAGCTCCCCTGCTCCCAAATCATATGGGCTGGCCTCTTCTCCGGTGTGAGTTGTAATACGAGAGCCCAGATTGTTGTTCGAAAAAGCTATAGATAATTAACAGCAACAACATCAATAACCACATTTGTTGTTTTTATTTTCTTAGAATGAATGTATATACATGTGAGGAATTATTGGCTACACCCGGAGTACCACGTTGGCACGGTGATGTGGTACTCCGGGCCAATGAAAATGCACCACGTGTCAAAATGATCAGTTAATTGATGTAATTAATGTTGATTTATTTTTTCTTGCCTACTTATTTCTTAATTTTTTTTAGGGACGTTCTTATTTCTTAATTACCTCTTCGGTTAAAGGTCTTTAATCAAATTACTCTTGCTCCTTCGTTTTCTCCGACGGAAAGCAGCCGGCAAAATTCCCTGTTCTACGTATGTGCATTATGAACTTTTTTTGTTCTTCCTAAAACCTTATCTAATTCCAAAACGCATTACTGGGTCGATTGAAGGAGGAAGAATGATGGGGAAAATTGAAAACAGGAGACTTTGTTTTTCCAGGTACTCTGTTTACTGAATGTCTTAACTCTAAAATCAGTAGCCAAGAAACTCATCCAAATTCAGCATTTTATATCCAGCGACGTAATCCCTGATCAAATCCCTCTAGTCCACTTAGAAGAGTCACCACTGGCTGCAACATCCATACATAATTTAGAAGCGCCACCATTTCTAATCTCGTCTTTCTGGGCTGCCGCCGCCTGCGAAATTCCCTGCCATGGCAGCTGCGCCTGCGATACCAACTCCGATGACGAAGAAATTTGATTCGTGACAGAGCCGGAAAAGTTTTGTGGGTTCTGGCTGCAATTGGTTACCCTGTTGCTGAAGAACGTAAAGGAGCTTCCATTTATGATTTATCCTTCAATCTTTTCAACCAACCTGGAAATAAAATAATCAACAATAGATAAACCAATGATAGTTAGTCATAATTAAATGGGACTAGTATATAATTACCTATTTCTCCATTTGGAATGGAGGAGCAGAATAAGAAGTGTTCTCGAGGCGTGAGGTCCTGCAGCTCTTCTCAGTTCTTGTCAACCATGTTTCAATTTATTAGGGTCGTCGATTGCTCTACCTCCGGAGAAAACGAAGGAGCATGAAAGAGAAACTTTAATTAACTATTCTTCATTAATATATTGATGGAGGACCTTCAGTCGAAAAAGGTAATTAAGGACGCAAGAAAAACTAAATCAGCAATAAATAAATTAACTGAGCAGTTTGACACGTGGCAACATTTCTTTGCCTGGAGTACCACATCACCATGCCTACGTGGTACTCCGGGTGTAGCCAATAATTCCTCTATACATGTTGTTTTATTTTACGTACGGTACCTGTGGTCATTATTGCAGATTTAATGGCAGATGGGGTGAAAGTAGGGTTGAGGTGCGTTGATGTTGTTGGAAATAAAATAATTTATTTCCTTATAATTCACAAGACTAATGGTGGGGTTTTTTTGTGGGGAATGCTCGTTATTGAGCAAGAATGGAAGAGAGATTTTTAATTGGGACAAAAGTTTGCAGAGGGATTTTGAGAGAGGAGAATGGGAACTTCTTTTTTATTTTGCTCTTGGCTATGCTCTTTGCCAATTACAAGACAGCTTATTCATAGGCTTTAGAATACAAGAGATCTTCACTAAACCGACTTACTTTTGTGGTTCTACTTTTTTTTAATTTTTTTTATTCAACAATCATGCAACTACCTAATTAAATTCAAACCTACCCATCTCTAGATTTTTCTTCATCTCCAGCAAACCAACATAATCCGGTAGCTCCCTTCTAGGGTTTTCTGATATTTCAGCTTTATTTCAATAATTAAACTTTATTTTAATTTCAACAGATGTCGGCGGCAACCCCTGAAACGTGAGGGCACGACATGGAAGTTCCAGAGTCGAGGTAGAAGCTTGACTGAGGCCTTCCTTTTGGCTTATCGAGGTCGTCGTCACCTGTCCAAGCGGCAAGGATGTTGACTCCAGGTGCAGTGATGTCAGGCTGCCAAGCAAAGCAAGTGATGATTCATTATAATAACCAAATAAATTAATACAAAAAATCATCAGTCGATAGCTGGTATGTACAAACACTTAATTGGACGACACAGAAATCAGTCTCATCGTATTTGCCTTGATAATGTGGGCCGAGTTGTTAGAAGGCCCCCTGGAGGAGAAGAATGCAACTTCTGGCGCCGGTGTATAGTTCCCCACAACTACCGTCGGCAGGATGGTCGCTCCAAGTGACCTGTGTACTATCCGTTGCATTTGAAATGAAAATTTGGGGATTTTCATCTGATACCCCCCGCAAGCTGGTGGGCACAGATTGTGCACACCGAGCTTGGAGATGAGGCTGGAGAAGTTTGTTGGTGGTAGAGCTTTGGTGAAGAGGTCCGCCAGTTGATGAAGGGAGGACATATGACGCAGTTTGATTGTTCCAGCCTGTAGTTTTTCGCGCACAAGGTGACAATCCAGTTTTATATGTTTTGTTCTTTCATGGAAGCACTACAACAAATTCGGCCTATTATGACTAGGAAATTTTGTCATATTAGATACTCATTTTGTCATATTAGGTATAATATGACAAATAGTGTTGTCACAAAGGTTTGTCATTTTATCGCCGTCAGGATAGGTCAAATGTGACAAAAGTTTAAAACAAGGTTGTCACATTTGCTTTCAGTATAACCGAGGTTCTGGGTAATCTATTGTGACAAACCGAGATGTTATGACGATATATTTTGTCATTACTTTTGTCATAATTTGCTTATTTTGACAGAATGTTCGTCATATTACACCATTATATTTTGATATCACATAATTGTGAGGAACAATTTTTGTCATAAATGCACGTGTGACGAATATATTTTGTCATAACTGTATATTACGACGAACATATTTTTGTCATAACTGCATATTTTGACCAATATGATTTATTCATCAATATATTGAATAACATATAGTTGAAAAAATCAATATTCTTGTAACATATAGAAAGAAATTCCCAAACCCAGAAAATACAATGCCATCTAGAAAAACCCCAAACCCAGGAAATAATATATGCCCCTGCCCCTGCCGTTGCTGACAATACACTCTTCTTCCTCACTTCCGCCGCGCCGACAACGCATCCTTCTCATGCCCGCTGTTGGAGCAGCCGCCTACAACGAACAAGAAACAATAACAAACCAGGAAAGAAACCCCAAATCCAAACCCAGAAAATGCAAATTGCATCTTCTTCAAATCTCTTCTTCCTCACTTCCACGACTGCCGAGAAACCATCCCCTCACCCATCTCTGGAAGCCAAAAACCCTATCTTCTTCCCATCTCAAAACCCCATCTCTAGACTCTGCCCCCTCGCTGAAAACTAAACACCCATATAAGAAAACAGAACAAAACCAAATCAAAATCAAATCTCCCAAAATACTTCAGATTGAAAATAAAAAATACAACCCACAAAACATACCTTCCATTCTCTTTGATTTCCCCAGCGAAAGTGAAGAAAGTGAGAAGAGGGAATCGAAATTAGACAAATCCAACCACCCCCAATATGGATTTGCCTATCGTGCCAACCACCCTCGATCTGGATCTACCCTCTGCATCTCGATTTATTCGAGCCTTTGAAGTTACAAGGGAGCATGTTTCTGGGTTTACAGGCAGAGGAAGATGGGGTTAAAGTGGTGGTTGAGGTCAACATGTGGAGAGAAAAAGGCGACAAGCGATGGTTGGCAGCCGGAAGGAGGATTCAATGGTTGGAAATCAGAGGAGACCAGAAGTGTCTCTCGATGTAGTGGGAGGAAGGTCGAGCCACGGATCTGGGAGCTCGGACGGGCAACCGGAGAAGACGAGGTCCTTTTGTGTGTGAAGGAAGGACAACTGTGGAGGAAGAGAACGGCGGTGGTGATTCTGAAAGGGTGAGGTAGAGGGTGATAGTGTGAGACGAGAGGAGAGAATCACGGCTGCTAGGGTTTATTTGATTTTATTATTATTTTGTTTCTTCAACCCAACACAAGATATAAATAAATGAGGAAGGCAGAGAGGGGGGGGGGGGGAATTTGGTGGGACTTTGGAGGGAATTTTGGGCGGGCTTAATAAAATTTGACTGGGACTTTGGGGGGAATTTGGGCGGGAGTAATAAAATTTGAGAAATAATATGGCAAAAGCTACTCTGACGATATAATTTGTCACTTTTGTGTCTCTTACATCTCGATATGGGATGCCTATTTTGACAAACTTAATTATGACACGAAATATTTGTCACATTACTCACTTCAAATGACAAACTATTCTAACAACAAAATTTTTGTCACAGTTGAATCTCTTACATCCCGATATGGGACGCCTATTTTGACAAAATTATTTGACACGAAATATTTTTCACATTACTCACTTTAACTGACGAATTATTCCGATAACAATATTTTTGTCACATTAGGCATACCAAATAGGACATATATTATTTTTGTCATATCACCATACCTATTGTGACAAATAGAAAATGACAAAATAAAAATTTTGTCCTAATAGGCCGAATTTGTTGTAGTGAAGGTTGGATTCTCAACAATATGGATTGTTGATTGGTTGTCGCAGGAGAGGGTTGCAGGCGCGGAATGGGAGAACTTGAAAATCCCTGAGAAGGTAAAGGAGCCATTGAATCTCGCATGTGGCATCTGCCATGGCTCTGTACTCGGCCTCGCAAGATGATCTGGAAATGGTTTTCTGCTTTTTGCTGCGCCATGAAACCAAGGCAGAGCCCAGGTATATGCAATATCCTGTAACTGATCTCCTAGTGTCCATACAAGATGCCCAATCGGAGTCACTGAATGATTTGAGATGGAGATTGGATGAAGATGGGAAGAACAGACCTGTGGAAGGAGCTTATTTGAGATACCTAAGTATCCTGGTCACAGCCTGGTAGTGTTGAATGCTTGGATTGGCCATGTATTGGATGACCTGCTGAGTGGCAAAGCTGATATCTGGTCTGGTAGTTGTTAGATAGATGAGCTTGCCAACAATTCTTCTGTAGAAAGATGGGTCTGGATAGGGATCAGAATGGTGAGCTGTGAGATGTAGTTTGTGATCCATGGGAGTAGAAACAGGTCTAGACAGTAGAACTTCTCCTTCTTCAAGGATTTCTAAAGTGTACTTTCTCTGTGATAGATGAATGCCAGATGAATTTCTTGCAACTTCAATGTCCAGAAAGAATTTAAGGGGACCCATATCCTTGATACTTAATGTGTTGTGTAGAGACTGCTTGATTTGTGTTATCTCTGTTAGGTCAGTTCCACCAATCACCAAATCATCAACATAAACCAAAATGCATGTGTAATGTGAACCTGTGGACTTGTAGAACAGAGAATGATCCACTTGACTGGAACTATAACCATGGCTGATGAGACAATCTGCTAACTTGGGAGAACCATTGTCTTGAAGCTTGCTTCAAACCATATAAAGACTTCTTGAATCTGCACACTGGGTTTGGTATGTGGGGTGGGGGATTGTATCCTTTTGGAAGCTTCATGTAGACCTCCTCAGTGAGGCATCCATGAAGAAAGGCATTGTTCACATCAAGTTGGTGAACATGCCAATCCTTTGAAGCTGCAATAGCTAGGAAAAGTCTGCCTGTAGTAATTTTAACCACTGGGGAAAATGTATCCTGGTAATCTATCCCTTCTTGTTGGTTGTATCCCTTAGCCACAAGTCTTGCTTTCTCCCTTTCTAAGGTACCATCAGAGAAGAATTTGTATTAGAATATCCACTTGTTACCAAGAGGTTTCCTGTTAGGTGGTAGAGAAACAACATCCCATGTCTGGTTTTGCTCAAGAGCATCAATTTCATGGTTGATGGCTCTATTCCATTCTGGTCTGGTGGCAGCCTCTTCATATGATTCAGGTTCTTTGTGGCAGGATATGGTTAGAATAAACTTCAAATAGGAAGGGGATAAGCTGGAATAATCAAGTACATCAGAGAGAGGATAGGTAATACCTGAAACATGTTGCTGGAGAGAATGACTGGTGGAAGAAACCTGCTGAAGTAGGTTGCAATGGTAGTTTTGTAGCTTGGATGGGGGTTTAGTGGTTATGGTGGGTTTCCTAATGGAAATAGGGATGTCTAGGGATGGTGGTGGAGTGGGGTTAGGGGATTGAGTTGGTGGCTGTGGAGAGCCTGCTGACATGGGTGGAGGTGATGGGGAGGTCACTGGTAAGGGTAGATTGGCAGGTGGGTCTTCATGGTCAGGAGAGGAAGGTAAGGGATAGAGATGAGGGGATTGGATGGGTTCTGGGGGTAAAGATGTGGGAATGGCTGGTTGAAAGGGGAACTCAGTCTCATAAAAGTGAACATCCCTTGAGGTGAAGATGTCATGGGTGTGGAGATCATATATTCTGTATCCTTTGATACCTGGTGTGTAACCCAAGAAGACACCTTTTCTTGCCCTTTCCTGAAATTTGGTTCTGTGACTAGTAATGGTTGAGGCAAAGCAAAGGCATCCAAAGACCTTTAAGTCTTGGAGGTCAGGGGGTTTGTTGTGCAGTTTTTGGTAGGGAGTGATGTTGTCAAGGACTGGTGTAGGAACCCTGTTGATTAGAAAGACATCATGTTTTACACAATCTCCCCAGAAAGCAATCGGGAGATGTGCTTGATACTTCAGGGCCCTAGCAATGGCTAAGATATATTGATGTTTGCGTTCAACTTTACTGTTCTATTGTGGTGTTTCAATGCAGGACATCTCATGTAAGATGCCTATTTTTGCAAAAAACTCAGTCATTTGGAATTCTTTTCCTTGGTCACTTCTGACGGTTTGAACCGAGGTAGAAAATTGGGTTGCAATCATGGTACAGAAGTGTTGTACTTTAGGTCTAGCATCAGCTTTGGACTGAAGAAGGATGAGCCATGTCATCCTGGAATGGTCATCAAGAATTGTGAAGAAATATTTGAAACCATCATAAGTGGGACAAGAGTTGGGACCCCAGATATCAACATGTATCAACTGAAAGCAATGTGTAGTTACAGTTGTGCTTGAAGGAAAAGGAAGCCGTTTTTGTTTGGCAAAATGACAAACATCACAAGGTAAGCTGCTGTTGGTTTCTATGTGTTGGTGAATCTGTTTCAAGTATTGTATTCGACTATGGGAAACATGACCTAGTCTGAAATGTCAAATATCAAAAGATGGTGAGCTAACAACATGAAACACCCTAACCCGGCCAGGTACTACTTTTACTAAAATGCCCTTGATAAATAAAATACTCAAATCTTAAATTTCAACTGGGAAAATT